TATAAATTCTATGTATATACATACACTATATATATATATATATATATATATATATATATATATTTATATATAAATATAATATATATATATGCATATAACACACACACACACACACACACACACACACACATATATATATATATATAAATATATATATATATATATATATATATATATATATATATATATATATATGTATATATATATGTATATATATATGTATATTATATATATATATATGTATATATATATGTATATATATATATATGTATATTTATATGTATATATATATATGTATATATATATATATATATATATATATATATATATATATATATATATATATATATATATATATATATATATATATATATAAGCATATTTAAATGCGCATATATATATATATATATATATATATATATATATATATATATATATATATATATATATATGTATATATATGTATATATATATATATATATATATATGCATATTTAAATGCGCATATATATATATATATATATATATATATATATATATATATATATATATATATATATATATATATATATATATATATATATATATATATGCGCATTTAAATATGCATATATATATATATATATATATATATATATATATATATATATATATATATATATATATATATATATATATATGCGCATATAAATATGCATATGCATATATATGTATATGTATATATATATATATGTATATATATATGCATATAATTATGCATATGTATATTTATATATAAGTATATATATACGTATATATATATATATATATATATATATATATATATATATATATATATATATATATATATATATATGCATATAATTATGCATATGTATATTTATATATAAATATATATATACGTATATATATATATATATATATATATATATATATATATATATATGTATATATATATATATATATATATATATATATATATATATATATATATATATATATATATATATATATGCGCATTTAAATATGCATATATATATATATATATATATATATATATATATATATATATATATATATATATATATATATATAAATATGCGCATATAAATATGCATATGCATATATATGTATATGTATATATATATATATGTATATATATATGCATATAATTATGCATATGTATATTTATATATAAATATATATATACGTATATATATATATATATATATATATATATATATATATATATATATATATATATATATATATATATTTATATATACATACATACATATATGCACATGAATATGCATGTATATATATATATATATATATATATATATATATATATATATATATATATATATATATATACAACTGCTGCGATGGTATAGTTGTTAGAGCACTAGAATCCGGCCCTTGTGGTCCCGAGTTCAATTCCCCGTCGCGGCCCTCGTAAAAAATGCCTGCGCTCTGACTGCTTGCTCGAGCCCGAGGAAACAACATATCGCCTTGAGAAGTCAAGCGCAGGTGTCGTAGGGGAAGTTACCACCGTGGTACAAGTGATAGCGCGCCGAACCGCGGTTGATTAGGAAGGGCATCCAATCAGGCAAGGGTGACACTGCCATATAACCTCTCAATAGTGTATTGAGGGAGGCCTATATCCTGCAGTGAAATGAATGGCTGTTAAAAAAAATATATATATATATGTATATATATATATCTATATATATATATATATATATCTATCTATATATATATATATATATATATATATATATATATATATATATATATATATATATATATATATATACAGATAGATATGCGTGTGTTTACGCATGTGTATTTTAGGTCTACAGATCGCGGCTCCTACGTCACATATCCGAGGAGCCAGACAGCGGAGCCAGCGGAGGGGAGGAAGAGGTCGAGCTACGGTCTTCTCCGCGGACTCCAGGCACGCCAAGGTTGGTCTAATTTAAATAAAAAATCTCTGCTAGGAAAGGAAACATTCTCACTCAAAACTGATTCATGTATAACAATTTCAATACCCTACGTAATTACTACGATGCAGTTGCTGATTATCGTCATATAACTATCACACTTATCATGTTTGTTATACCTATTATTGTTGTTGCGTTACCATTACCATTCCTATGGATATGATCACTCTAAATTAGCCTTACATTTTCTTTATCATTGTTGCCCTCGCTATTATTATCAACATCATTATTTCTGATATTTTCTCCAATATCCTCATCAGCATTATTATTATTATTATTATTATTATTATTATTATTATTATTATCATTATTACCACTGTTATTTTTTGTATTATTATTATTGTTACTATTGTTAATATCAGCATTATTAACATTATAATTATAATAATAATATTAGTAATGATAGTAATAACAACAATAGTAATAGTAATATTAATAATAATTATAAAAATAGTGGTAATAGTAACAATAACAACAGCAATGATAATGACAAT